GTGTGTGTGTGTGTGTGTGTGTGTGTGTGTTATTGGAGGGGGTAAAAAGAGTGGAAAACCTAACAAACAAAAAGAGTGAGATCAAAGACTTGTCTAAAGTGCTTGGTGGTTTGTCATTACCCCAGCACTTTGTGTCGGTTAGAAAAAGACGTGCACTGTTAAAACTTGTCTTTCTACAGACTTGGTGCTAACAGAAACATAATAAGAAACATTCCGTTTCAGTTTGATTTAATTTATTTATGTAGCAACAGTTCACAACTTCAGKCCTCCCACAGCACAATGCATAAAAAAGAACAAGTCCAGTTCAGTCCAAAACCATAGTTCCCATCTGGTGACACTGGATAAAAATAATGTATCTTGTGTCCAKGCCATCAATAACGTGTGACCACAAGATCATTTTGAGCAGCGTGCAGTGTCATACAGACATACTGCAGTTGGAGTCAAATTTTGATTAAGATGCTTTTGTTTTAAACTGTTTAAGGTAGAGCCTACCCCACACATTTTTGTGCRTGTGTGTTAATATAAACAGTTCATCTTTAATACAAGGCTAATTACGAGATGACAATGAATGTCCTAGATGTGTTGGGAAATGGATTTTTTACTGTGTTCCTAAACGCAACATAACCCAGACTCCTGTAGCTGCAAATGCACAGAGTGAGAGGAGCCTGTTCTGAGTGGTGAGCTTCAAAACAATAAAATAAAGCTTTTTGGACAAATACAACTCCAGTCGTTAGCTGAGTCTTAACTGCAATAATGTAATGTGAATTACTTCATGTCTAACATACAGTATGGTTTATGATGACTGCAGATGGGCAAAGAATCCAGATGAGTGGGGGCCTCTAACATACAGTATGTGACTGTAGTAGGTCATCCATCCATCCATCCATCCATCCATCCATCCACCCATCCATCCATCCATTATACCCACGTCTTAGGTTCAGGGTCACTGGTGCCCATATCAGTAGTCACTGTGCGAGGGGCGGGGTACACCTTGGACAGGTCTCCAGTCCGTCACAGTATGTTATTTATTCCTGTAATAACCCTCCTTTTATGTTTGTTTCTGAGAAACAGCAATTTTGTTCAGTTTGACCCAGAGAGTGTGTCAGAAACCAAAACATATCACCCAAAAGAAAAAAATTGTATAGGTCCTCTGGACGGGTTCTTCTTTAATGAAATGTTTCGTCTCTCTTCCAAGAGACTTCTTCAGTCTGAGAGTTTCAG